AACTGGAGGGGTAGTTGTCGGAGTGGCAAGACCTGCATCTCCACCATCGATATCAAAGAGGTCATTCGGGCTAATCCCACTCTCACTCAAAGCAGCAAGCAGTAAATCTTGCCCTGGTTCCACCATCTTTAAAAAAAATAATAAATATTAACATAGAAAACTTAAAGTGCAAGTATTAACTCTCCTCTCACTATAAACAAGCCAAATTTCCTACCAGACTCAATCATTCAGTATTTGTGGGTCAGTCGAAGAGAACAAGAAAGGTCGTCTTTGATCTCAGGAAGATCATACTAAAGTGGAAAGGACAGCGAGGTACATGAGTCACAAGAATGCATGTTTACTAAGTTACACGAACAGAGAAATAAAAACTGAACTTTACGAGGAACAAAGATTACAAAGATGACAAGAGCTGAATCTCAAAGAAGAAATCAGGTAGACAAGGATCTTCTGGACGATGCAATCAGATTCACAGATGGATGAGAGAATTTGCCACTGCTTAAAAACTACAATTAAAGGGGCCAGTAAGTGGCATGGTGGTTAAGGCACTAAACTCCCACATGGTCGAAAGCAGTTTGCATCCAGGACCCTTGAAACACATTAGGGGCATGCCCCAAGCCTCAAGAGAATAGGGAAGGATTGCAGAATGGCCAGACCCCCCCCCCCGGGATAATTTCTCAGTTTCTGTCTCTTTGGCGAGCACACGTGTCCTATAGCAAAAAAAAAAAAAAAAACCTACAGCTAGCATACTTCAACATGGGTACAGAAGCAAACTTGGAATAGAAGGGTGGGACTCAGGTAGGAGATGGAAAGACATGAGGAAGATACTGCCCAACACCTTGTATACCATGCTAGAAAGTTCCCAGAAGGCAAAAGGAGTCGCATAACAGGGTTTTCAGAGGGAAGACTGTCTGACACAGACTTGTGGTTTAGAACGCCTACTTGTCAATGGTGTGAAAAGAGAGGGGACCGAGTGAGATCAGAGGAAGGAAGACATCAGGAAACAGCTACAGCAGAGCAGGAGAGACAATGTGTTACAACTGCAGGGAGAGGACAGAAAGAAAGGGGATGGATTCCAAGATATTTAAGAGAGAAAATCCACTGCACTTAGTTTAAATAAAAACTCAGAATGGAAGAGAGAATATAAACACACCAGAGAAAAACCCTGAGTTGACGGATAATTAGAGTTAAGCCAAAGAACCAAGCCCAGGACCCTGAAGGATGAACTGTGTGGTCAGCAGTGGGAAAGCCAATGTAGGAGCAAATACAGTTTAGGTTGCGATTTTCCACCTATGATCTCAGCAGCCAGGCCAAAGTGCTGTACCTCTGGAATGAATTTTTAGTACTCATTTTACACAGAGAAAAAAGAAAATTAAGAGTTTTCTCAATTTTTCCCTTAATTTATCTGAAATAACCCATTTATACAAACATACTTATAAGAAATCTGGTTTACTTGTTTTTCTCAGAAACTAATTTATTTCTTTTTTAAATAATTATTTTATTTAACTTTATTTATTTATTATATTTTGACAGGGGTGGGGTGGGGGTGGTGAAAGTAAGAAAGCAAGAAAGCAAGCTGCCAGGCCTGGGAGTAGAATCATGGTTGGCCATGTGGGATTCCAGCATCATTAACCACTATGCCACCTGCTGGCCCCAGAAAATGAATTTTTTTTTTTCAGAGTTTTTTGCTATAGGGTGTATGCGCTTACCAGAAAGACAGAGACAGACAGAGAGACAGAAAGTGAGAAATCACCCCCCTCAAGGGGGATGGCCATGCCACAATCCCTTCTCCTCTCAGGATCTTGGACACGCACGCACACGCGCCTGGCGTGAGTTTAAGCCACTGGGTCCAGAACTCGAACCATGGTCAACTACGTAAGAGTCCAGCGACATAGCCATTAAGGCAACTGCTAGTCCTATAGAAAACTAATTTCAAGTTACATAAATAAAATACTAATTTTCAGCCGCTCCATTTGCCGTCTGTGTGATCAAATTACATGCCAGTGTTTCATGATGTCCTACAAAAAGTGTTAGAGCCAAGAGCACCATGACTGCGACTCAACATAAGAAACAACCGTTTTAGGGACCAGCAGTTAGCGTAATGGCTATGTCGCTGGACTTCCACGTAGTCGACCGCGGTTCGTGTCCCGGACCCAATGGCTTAAACTCACGCCAGGCACATGTGCGTGCGTGCCCAAGATCCCGAGAGGAGAATGGAGGAGAAGGGACTGCGGTGTGGCCATCCCCCCTGGGGGGTGTTTTCTTGCTTTCTGTCTGTCTCTGTCTGGCGAGCGCACGCGCCCTGTAGCAAAAACCTCTCAAAAAAAAAAAAAAAAAGAAAGAAAGAAATGACCGTTTTAGATCAAAGTGCTATTTTCTTTTTCTTATTTTTAATTTGTTATAGGGCATGTGCGCTAATTGGAGACAGAGAAAAAGAGAAAGTAAGAAACCACCCCCAGGGGAGATGACCATGCTGCAATCCCTTCTTCTCCATTCTCCTCTCAGGATTGTGGATGTGCACCTATGTGCGCACATACGTTCAGTGATGTTCTCCAAGCCACCAGGCTAGGGCTCTAACCCTGCAGTCAACCACGTGGGAACCAGAGGCCTTTACCACACCACCTGGCTGGCCCCAAAAGCAAGATATTTAACAAAAAAATCCTCTACTAAGTCTAAATCAAATTAGCTTATGTATCATTTAGACAGATGTTCTAACAGAAACACAAACGAGTTTAAGATGGAAACAAACCACAGGTATACCAAACAAAACTGAGGAAAGAACCACTGTTTAAGGGGACAGATGGGGGCCAGCCCATGACACAGTGTTTATGGCAGCTCTTTCCCACATAGCCGACTATGCAGCTGCGAGTCCTGAACCCAACAGCTTGAAAAACACACTGTGTATGTGTGCGTGCATGCATGCCCCAAATCCTAAAAGGCAGGAGAGATGAATAAAGCACAGTGGAGGGACCAGCAGTTAGCATAATGGCTATATCGCTGAACTCTCATGTAGTCGACCAGGGTTCGAGTCCTGGACCCGGTGGCTTAAACTCACACCAGAAGCGTGTGCGTGTGTGCCCAAGATCCCAAGAGGAGAATGGAGGAGAAGGGACTGCAATGTGGCCATTCCCCCGGGGGGGTGATTTCTCGCTTTCTGTCTCTCTGTCTCTGTCTTTCCAGCAAGCTCATGCGCCCTATAGCAAAAACCTCTCCAAAAAAAAAAACCCCACAAACAAAGGACAGTGGCATGACCATACCCATAGGGGGCACTTTCTCACTTTATCTCTCTGTCCCTGACAAAGTGCAAAGTGCACATAAACTTTGGCAAGGTTATTAAAAAAAAAAAAAAAAGGATAGGAGGAGCAACCAGGAGTTGGCGTAATGGCTATGTCGCTGCACTCCCATGTAGCTGACCGCAGTTCAAGTCCCAGAGCTGGTCGCTTAAACTCACACCAGGTGTATGTGTGTGCGTGCCCAAGATTCCAACAGGAGAGTGGAGGAAAAGGGATTGCAGCATGGCCATCCCCACAAGGGGGTGATTTCTCACGTTCATTTCTCCGTCTTTCTGGCGAGCACACGTGCCCTATAACAAAAAAACCTCTCCCCAAAAAAAGGATGGGAGGAAAGACAAAGAGCCCAAAGGAGATTTCTCCAAAGTGTTCAGAGAAAGGAAAAGAGGTCTAAGGAAGAAAAACAGTTTGAGCAGGAAAAGAAACTGACAAAGTATGGCCCCCCAGCTTGAGACCGTTAGGCTCCTCCTAGACATGACCTTATTTAAGCCCACAAATGCGCTGAGTGACATAGATAATATATTTCTAGGGCTGAAACTGAGGTTCAGAAAGCTTAAATTACTGGGCCGGCAGATGGCATGTTGGTTAAGGGCACTGGATTCCCACGTGGCCAACCATGGTTGAGGAGTCCTGGACCTGATGGATTGCTTTCTCACTTTCCCTTTCTCTCTGTTCTGTGGTAAAAATTTAAAAATGATAATAAATGGAATTAAATAAATAAATAAATAAATAAATAAATATTTTTAAAAATCTTAAATTACCCTATAAAGTTTACCCAGGGGAAAAAAAAAATTCACCCGTATAGGGAGTGGTAGAAAATTAGAATCTAGGGGCCAGCAAGTGACATGATAGTTAAGAGCCCTGGACTGCCAGATGGTCAACTGCGGTTCAAGTCCCGGACCTGGCGGCTTGCTTTCTCACTTTCTCTCTCGATCTGTTCCTCTCTGGTCAAATTAAGATAAATAAAGTTAAATAAAATAATTCTTAAAAACAAAAAAAAAGAAAAATTAGAATCTAGGAACCAGAAGATGGTACAACGGTTATGTCGCTGGACTCCCATGTGGTCGACTGTGGTTTGAATCCCAGATGTGGTGGGTTAAAACTCCTGCTGCTCAAAATCTCAAGTGAAAGGAGAAGGAATTGTGGCATGGCCACATTTCCCCAGGTGGGGGGTGGTTCTCGCTTTTTGTCTGTCTCACCTGTGAGCTCACGTGCCCTCTGACAAAAATGTCAAAAACCTCTCTCTCAAAAAAAGAAGGAACCAGCGGGTGTTGTGATGGTTGGACAATTCCACATGGCTGACCATAGTTCAAGTCCTGGACCTGATGGCTTGCTTCCTCACTTCCTCTCTCTCTGGTCAAATTAAAATAAACGAATGAATAAAGTAAAATAAAATAATTCTTAAAAAAAAAAAAAAGAAAAGAAAAGAAAAAGAAAATTAGAATCTAGGTAGCTCAAACTCCCAAAGCCCATGGGTTCTCTCTTTAACAGTAGATAAAGTTGGTATTAGTGGGCGACCAGCAGATGGCGAACCGGCTATATCACTGGATTCCCATGTAGTCGACCGCGATTTGAGTCCCAGACCCGGTGGCTTAAATTCACGCCAGGTACATGTGTGTGCATGCCCAAGATCCCGAGAGGAGAATGGACTGAGACCTGGCCACCATCCCCCCCCCCCGGGGTTGGGGGGGGGGGGGGATTTTTTGTTTTCTTTCATTTTTTTCTCTTTCCTGCGAGTGCACGCGCCCTGTAGGAAAAACCTCTCCAAAAAACAAAGTTAGTGTTAGTGGGACCACCAGATGGCATAATGGTTACGTCAACGGACTCCCACATAATCAA